TCTAGCGAACCCCATGTTTCCCACCAATCCCATATTTTTTATGATCCAATCCCACAAGGAGGCATAGATCGATAGGAGTCATAGAGTGAGGAGGCGGAGGAGACTGAGACCGCTGGAATGATGAAGGCTTTGGCTGCGGCCAATCCTCTTGCTCCTCGCTGTTCCAAATCACGACGAAGGGTTTGTGATGTCAAAGTGAGGCGAGATTTAGGTCAACTTCGCCTAAAATGTTAAGAAGAGAGGTCGGGTCGGTAGTTTAATCGAGTTGGGTTAGGTTATCTACTGGATATGATGTAGCGGGTCAGGTTATATGATGTGGCAGGTTAAATTGGATGATAAGACATGTCTGTTAGCAACATCAGCAAAAAAATTGACGTCGTTAACAGAGACTAACGAAGAGTGACCAAACTTGGGTTGTTTTACTAATTTTAGTGACTATGAACGGAATTAAATATTTGTAGTGGATATACATGAATCTTTTTAGTAATCTCAGTGACCAACCTTGTAATTTATGTTTAATTTAAGATATCATTTCGTAAATTTTCACTCCACCTACAAACCCTTCATCCTTTTCCACCTCGCTCTCTCTCAAAGTGTGATAAAGTACTTTTTTGTACAAAAAATCTCTTCCCTGTCATCATATCTACTCTCTCTTCCTCCTCCGTCTGCTTATTTCATCCGACCAGCCCCAAATCAATCACCACTAACCCTTTTTTACCAATTTGAGTTCTTCCGGCAAGCAGAGGAAGGGAGAGCTTGTCGGCTAGGGGAGGCGTAGATGAACAAAGGTTGTTGTTTGGATGAGCTAAAGCGGATACAGAGGGGGGAAGCTTGCGCTGGAGTTGGAAGGGAGGGAGGCAGCTTGCACGCTAAAGCTGGAGGAAGAGGGAGGTCGTTTGTGGCTGGCGTGCGGTTGCTGATTGCTGGGGAGGAAGACTCCGACGACCTGGAGCAGACGCCTATGGTGGGGAGGACACTTCAAAATCGAAACGGCATCGCACAGGAAGGAGATCCGCTAACCCTCTCTCTTGGTCCAACCGCCCGAGTTCAACAGGTTTGACAGGATTTAGGTTTATTCTTTATTGGGCCATTGTACACCATTTTCATGGACGGGTCTGGTTTGACAACCTTGCATAATTCCCTTCCTCATATACTTCTTTGTCAAGACTTTTTTTTTATGGAAATCTGTGTGCTACTTCTTATTGATGAGTGTTTGTGGTTACATTGTCCAGTTAAAACCGATCAATCAGAAAAATGGGTGGCTTGTCTTACCAAACAGATCGTACATCTACTTTGGTATTCGAATGAGTCATTATGTGTGCTGCTTCATTGCCATTCCTGCCAACATGTTGCCAACTCATCTCCCCCCATGCTTCCCGTCAATCTTTTAATATTTCTGCAAAGTATTCCAATCTCCGAATGTATTGTATCCGCCACTTCCAACTTATTTATCAAGCCAAGACTGTCCACCTCAAATACAATATTGCCAGGTGATGTTGGTGAGCAAGTTGTATGCCAAAATTCGCTTCCATTGCTTCCGACTCGTCCACCGACCAGCTTCTCATTGCTTTCTTTGTCGCTGCCATAAGGAAGAGTTCATCCGGACCCTGAGCTACTATACCCAAGCCAATTGCAGTACTTCATGTCATGTCGGCATCGTATTTATCTTAATGTGCCCATGCGGTGGAGGGCTCCATCTAGTGTCGATTGGCAAAGGGGGTTCCAACCACCTTTAAAGAAAGATCAAGCACCTAAAAAAAAGTGAGTCCATGATCTTTCTGTTTTTGAAAGTCTCTTTATCCACGGATCACTTGTCCTACGATCACTATTTGGCATGATCCCGACTCGGGACTAGAGTTCTCGCCGAAGAAGTTAGGAGGTGTCGTGTGCATTGGTTGACCTCGTAAGCTACTAAATAACCTAGGAAGTCCTCTACCGATGATCGTTGCGTGTTGTTGTAGAGGTCTGGAGAGTTGCATTGGTTTGAGACAGGTTTGCTTGGGGACAAGCAAACGGTTAAGTGTGGGGGAATTTGATAACACGATATTTACACATGTTTACACCCTCATTTCTTGATCAATTTGGCTTTGATTAGAGTTCTCTGTCACCTATTTTACGCTAGGTTGTGTTATTTTGTCATACTTCAGGTCCTAACGAGTAAAGGGAGACATAGGCGCAAGTTTTGGGTCAATCGGAGGTCGTTTGGTGACTCAAAAGCTTCTCAAAAGTGGAGCTTAGGAAGAAACACGAGCAGGTTCTCCACAAATCACGACCGTGTTTCAGCTGACACTTGCCAGTGTTTATTATTTCAAGCATAGTGACAATCTAGGAGCAAACACGGGCAGACCCTCCTAAACACACGGGCGTGTTTCACTCAGCACCCCGCCAGTGCTTTTTAGTGCGAGCGTGGCTTGTGAAGACTACTAAAGGGATGCAAAGCACGGGCGAGACTGAACATAGGCTCCATATCTACTTTGAGGCCTTCATTCTACGCTTCCAGGTATCTTCGAGCGCATCCAACTCCAGTCATTTCTTCAGTAAGTTTCAGGCTTCTCATTCCAACTCCAAGCTCCCTTCGACTGTGTCCCAACTCCCAAATGTCTTGAATAAGATTCCAAAGTAGGTAGCTCGAAACTGTTTTCATAATTAGGCAGATTTCCAAAATTATGTTCTTCCTTTCTCCATGGGTTTATTACAACTTTGCACTCCCATGGTGAACTGTCAAGGGTACAAAATGGATTCTCATCAGACCCTCATTTTAAAAATCTTTGACCTCAAAGCTTGAAGATTCATGCAAGAAAGAACATGATCAAAAAGACTCCAAAATAGGTCGTCAAAAGCGGATGCCAATTGTTCCTCGTCGGCCTTCAAATTCCCACTGTTTTCTGCCTCGCTACCGTTCGATGATGGTTCGACCAGTACCATGACCAACTGATCATTTCCTTTGCTTCCTTGGTCTGTATCAAGAAGGACCAACATCGGGAAATACATCAGAATGCTCGTCGGCACCTCCATCTTCTCGACGAACTCCGGCGAGCTCAAGCGAATTTACGCTTTTTGATTCGGGCTTCAGCACTTCAATTGATCGCTTGGATTAGGCTCCCTTGCTTTAAGGAGTCGATCCCACCCATTTCCACGCTCCAATTTTGCTCGCATCGAGATGCCACGAGCGTAGAATATTTCACGCCCTTCTAGAAATTCAAATTCTCAACACCCATAAATCCAAAATTCATATTGGGCATTTTTTATTCGGTTGATTTTCAGCTGATTTATGTTGCCTTACACCTTCCCTGAGATACCAGCAATTGATCCCTGGTGGCTAATTGGTTCGATTCAACCTCAATCACTCTGACCAATTCATCAATTTCCTTGTCGATGTTCTTCATTCTTAGCTGGAAAATCGCCCGATTGGGGCTTTCCAATCCAACAACATTTGACATCAATTGGATTGTGCTACAGGTTCCCGACACTTCACCAAATGTGTTGACGGTTTCAGTTTCACCCGGAGTCATCCTGAACTCCCAAACCAATTCACCCTCTCTCGTGCCCTATTTCGTCGATGTCGACGAGCAGAGTAGCTTCGCACCAGCTTGCTGGGAATTTTAAATCTTTTAAGCGTCATCAGCATAAAATTCTGGGCAACAAAATTCACTTCCTTCTTCGAACCACCCGTTTCCCCTCGTTCTATGGCTCGATTGGGGACAAATTGTTGCTGATGATCGAATTTCAGCCGGTGATAACGGTTTAAGCACAAATTGTCGACCTTCATGCTTCAGTTTGTAACCATTGGTTCCTCCGAAATGCCATACCAGTTGATCAAATTGCCAAGGACATCCAAGCAACAAATGGGCAGCATGCATTGTTGCTACATCAAACACAAGTTCATCCTTGTAGCTACCAATTTCAAATGGAATTTTTTCTTGCTTGGTCACTTTGATTGTCCCGTAATCGTTGAGCCAGTGCAAGTTGTATGGCTCTAGATGCTTATTTGTACTTAGGCCAAGCTTCTTGACGACATCCCCACTTACAACGCTCGTACAACTCCCTCCACCGATGATCAAAGACAATAGTTTGTCATTGACGATACAACGCAAGTGAAATAAGTTGTCCCGCTGTTCGGCAGAGGCATGAGCTTCAATCGTTAAAGCTCTCTAATTCATTGTCATGAGCTATCCAGTTGTTGGGGCTTCAATAACAATTTCTTCGTCCACCTCTTCTTCAGACGATTCAACATCGTCCTTATCCTTGTCCTCATCATCACTAATGTACTCTCCATCGTGTAAAATCAACGTCTTTAAGTTTGGCATTGATTTGCTTTGTGTCCCATGCCATGGCACTTAAAGCACTGGATTCCTCCTCTAGAACCTCTAGTCTGCTCTTGAATAACAGGCATGACATTCTTCGCTGAAGGTTTGGCTCCATCTTGGTTGAACTGGGGGTTGATGGCCTCGACATTTTGCTGTGGGGTCAGCTTGGTGACTACAGAAATTGTCTTCCCTGTGCCGACTTCAATTGCCTCTCCACTTTGATTGCGAGGTGAACTGCCTCTTCTAGTTTGACAAAGGGTCGAAGATCAACTTCGTGACGAATTTCATGATTCAGTCCGTGAAGGAATTGCGAAATTTTAGCCTCTTTATCCTCCCTAACATCAGCTTGCATCATGAGCAATTCCAGCTCTTTGAAGTAATCATCAACATACCAATTTCCTTGGCGAATTTCATGAAGTGATTCGTGCAACTCACGCTGATAGTAACCCGGCAAGAACCTCATGAGTCCCCTTAGCTCGACCCAGGTGTCGACTTCTGGCTGCAAATTCCGCCGTCGCCGGAGTTGAATCTGCTCCCACCATTGCGCAATGTTGTCTGTGAACTCGTATGTGGCCAAGATTATCTTCTGCGGCTTAGAGCAATTACCACATTGGAAGAACAACATTATCTTTCTCTCCCAATCCAAATAAGCAGCCCGAAATAATAGTTATAACTAATAATCTGTATTTCGATAATTGTAGCTATAATTTCCTGATGCTATTTACCCTTTGATTTTCCCAGCAGTAGTGATTAAGAGCTCACACTTGTCACCACCAACGGAACAAGCATTATATGATTTAGGAAGAATTGAATACAAACGGTCTGTCCGACTTACTGAACAATCTCACTCCTTTCCAAAGCTAAAATCCTGGATACTTCCTATCCTCTTCAACTATTATTGAGATTCAAACAAAAGAAATGTAGACACTTCAACATGGAATTAACAAACGTCTTGTCAGCTTTGCGTAGCTATTATGTAACAGGAAGATACAAGGAAATAGAGTAACAGAAGAGCCCAAAAAATGCTCCCACTTAATAGGTGTATCCCTTGACGAACATACCCTTCTTGGCTTCGGCGCTCTCATCTTCGCCAGTGTACTTGCCAAGCTGGGCAAGGGAGTTTGCCTTGGCACGTACCAGCAGTGCTTTCTGTGCAGCCTCCACATTCTCAGGCTGCCCTTTCCAGGTCTTAAGCACACTGTTCTGCAACGCACGTGCATATGAGAAAGAAACGTGCCACGGGTTGGGGCTTTGGTTCATCGCATTCAGGTTGAGGGTTGCTTCCACCTCGGATTGTCCTCCAGACAAAAACTGAGGAAAAAGGAAAAGAGAGTAATTTGCTTCATCGATTTTGCTTCTCTAGTTGTGATTCAAGTTAATAAATTACGAACTCAAACATATCCAAGCAACAGTCATTGACCATGAGGCGGCATTGACATCAATATTAGCCTCCACTAGAGAAGCCCAACACTGAAAGCTTAGTAGTCAGCAGTATGAGTTGACACTCTGGTTGCCCTTATTGTTGCGAAGGTGGAATAAAAGTGCCCCACAAACACCATAAAGAAAGTAAATCACCATACATTAGAAAAAGGCAAAGTTTACGTAACATACCATGATTCCAGGAACTGCAGGAGGTATCCTCCTCCTCAGCATTGTGAGCGTGTGATTTGCTATTGTTTCTGAAGAAGCCCTCTCCTTGTGCTCGGCCCCAGGTGTAACCATGCTAGGCTTCAGAAGGATGCCTTCGAAAACAACATTGTTCTCTGCCAAGTAGAAAATGACCTCTGACCAGACTTTCTCCGCAACCTCAAGGGTCCTTTCAATTCCATGGTCCCCATCAAGAAGAATCTCCGGCTCAACTATAGGGACAAGTCCACTATCCTACAAAATGAAAAAGATATATAAAAAAAAGTTCAACTTGCAAATTGATCATTGTTAAGAACTTCCATTAAGCTATGCTATACACACTTCTGATAAACATAGGAGCACTCGTTTTTTATACGCGCATAAATAAGTACTAGTACTACAAACTATGAGTGCTTAATCTTCTCATGGAGCCTGTAACATATGAACATTGTATTTATATCTAAGAACTAACAATCAAACAGAAACTGATTCATAGGATATCATTCCCTACGTCTTGGAAAGGTCTTTAGGAGGGCCTGATCATTGTTAAGAACTTCCATTAAGCTATGTTATACACACTTCTGATAAACATAGGAGCACTCGTTTTTTCTACGCGCATAAATAAGTACTAGTACTACAAAATATGAGTGCTTAATCTTCTCACGGAGCCTGTAACATATGAACATTGTATTTATATCTAAGAACTAACAATCAAACAGAAACTGATTCATAGGATATCATTCCCTTCTTCTTGGAAAGGTCTTTAGGAGGGCCTGAGTTCAGGCATGAGGAAACTTATAGAAAGAATTGCCTCATAAAAGAATGACTGGAAGCCAATACGGAATTATGCCGGTAGAAGAAATTTGTAAGCTTTTGAGTACCTGGGAAATGGCAGCATATCTTGCAAGACCCCATGCAGCTTCCTTGACAGCAAGAGCAGAAGGGCCACAGGGAATGCTAACAACCGTCCTCCTGCAGTGCCATGAGCATCATCATAACAACAGAAACTCTAAAAGCATCAACCTTATGTTGTGGACCTAAATCTGGGGTAAGCCAACAATGGATGTAATGAACTCGTGAGCAGACCATGGAAATCGAGAACTTACCACTTGGCAAAACGAGCACCTTGCTTGTAATATTCAGAAGTTCTTGAAGCCAAACCATCCAAACCCTGGCACCAGGACTCGTTGTTGGACCCTGGTAGGGGAACCAAACCCTGTAAAGCAAAGCATTAAAAAGAGCAGAGTGAAGATCAGAAGATCATCAATAAGCTTCTGGAAATCACACCAACTCTCATGGAACCTCCAAACAGCACACATAGACATCAGATTCACAGAATCAAAAAGTTTTACTGATCAGAATACCTTGTCGACTTTGATCCCGGGAACAATGTTCTGTTCGACCAAGCAGTCAACCATCTTCTTGCCATCAGTGGTGGACTGGTAAAGGGTCTCCTCAAAAAGAATAGCACCAGAGATGTATTCACCAAGGCCAGGAGTGGTCAGCAAGAGCTGCCTGTAAGCCTGCCTGTTGGTCTCAGTGTTGCCCAGCCCGATAGAATCCAACCTCTTCCCACAGGTGGCATTGGATTCATCGACCGCGAGGATTCCACGGCCAGGTGAAGCAATAGTTTTCTAAAGCCACACACAACAAGAGGCAAAATCAGAAAACGCCAAATCACCGATCCGTCAAAACCCATGTGGGGGGAGAAGGGACAAAATACAGAACAGGGACAAATCTCCATCAGATCAACATTGACAAAAGATAACTCAGTAGTCGAAGTGGAACCGGTAGATAAAGGAAGCACGGGAGATAAGCGTGGAGCGGGAAGCTCGGCCCGAGGAATTCAATCAAGATTAGGGGAAACAGGAGAGCAGAAGAAGAACAAGGAAGGAAGGAAGGGGCTTACAGCGGTTTTGAGGAGCTCATCGGTGTAGTGGCCGGCGCGGATGGGGAGGGAGACACGAGAAGGAGCGAGTCGAGAGGAGGGTTGGGGTCGGGAGGAGAGGGATTGGCGGCCGATCCAAGTGGAAGAGGCGGCGTCGAGCTTCGCGAAGGTAGCTGAAGACGCCATGGGGTGGGATCTCGATTCTCGATCACGATCACGAATTCACGATCACGATCAGAGAAGGTGGGCGGAAGGAAGGAAGGAAGGAAGGAAGGGTTTGGTTGGTGGTGAGGTGAGGTAGGAGCGGGGTAGGTGGTTTTATGGAGGTACGACGACGAGAGGGAAAGTGGTGGTCGTTGCTTACTATTTTTTTCAAAAAAGATCCCTGGTCTAGGTTTTTATTTTATATATTATTTATTTTATTTTGCGAATGAATACGTTTGTTTTTCGTCCTCGAGAAGTCCGGAGGGAGCCTTTGGGAAGAGGGAAACAAGGTAAACGTCACCAACCAGCGATGGCTGCTGCTGGCCCTTGGATGCCGGTAGGCTGGCTACTGCTGTGCTGTCACTGACTCCAGTAGTATAGTATCCCCTATTTGCCCTTCCGCCCTTTCACTGCTTCCAAATCTCCCAACTGTGTGCATTTTTGTTTCTCTTGTTTCTTTCTTGTTCTTTTCCCCGTCCCTTTAAATCCCCATCAGCCAGCCAACAAGTCCCCCGTGCGTTCAAAATTTCGTTGTCATATTAATATATGTGCAAATTGAGTCGAATCAACCCGAATTTTACTCTAATTTGAGCTCAGTTCTGCCGGGGAAAGATGACCGGAGCAACTGATTCCCTCTCCGAGCCCGACCATGGCGGCAGAACAACCATCTTTTCTCCTTCACTGCGTTGTTGTTGCCGAAGTCGACAAGTCAGAGTCATCGTCTGCCTTTCCGCATCGTCGTCGCTGGCCTCATCCTCCGCATTTGGGGTTTTAAAAGATGGTGGTTCCTGAATGTTCATCCCCAAATTAATTGGCTTGGGATTCCTCTTTTGCTGGCAAGAGGAAGAAGATGACAGGGGATAGTGTTTTTGTTCTTTCTTTTTAACTTTGATTAATGAAAAATTAAAATTATTTATTTGAATTTTTATTTAAAATAATACGTGGCATCCACGTGTCACCAAGGGCTGAGTTGTCGCTGATGTGTGCGATGATTTGGCATATTAGTCAGCCAAATGTTAACCTAACTGACAGAGTTTATAACACCGTTAAAGTTTATAACGGAAATGACTATATTTGTCATCAAACTTTCAAAATTCTGGCTATAAGTATTATGTCTCCAAAAGTGGCTATTATTGTCACAAACGCTAAAGTTTTGGCTATACAGATGTATTTTGCCTATAATCAAATTGCATTATACTGTTGTAATATTATATCATTTGTCCATCTGCAGGATGATCTGGAGAGCACGAATATGCACAAAGAAGAGCTAGATAAAGTGTATGAGGACACCCAACTGCAGACCGCTACTTGCGCCTCTTGCCTTGAAACTGCTCTAGAAGTAGAGCTCGCTAAGATTTGTACTGAGGTGGAAGCCAAAATTTTGGCCGACTTCGACAAAGAGTTTGAGGAGCAAAAAATGAGTCCACTCAAGAGAAGGAGGAATTGAATAAATACTATACAAGCGCAAGTTGAATATGATAAGGTGGAATATCACAAGAAGGAGACACTCATTATGCACATTACTACCGCAAGAGCGGACGTTGTCACCAGCTGAAGGAGTTCTAGGAGGGCAAGAAGATAATTCTCAACGCCATATTTGATAACTTCAACATTGTTCTGAAGAAGGTTTAGAAGGACAACCCAGGCATGAAATAGAACACGACGACCATATGGAGTTCGTATTGAACTTCATGGAATGAGGGCACCCGATTGAGGACCCAAATTCGACGTATTTGGATTATGCGTCAGACGAGGAGTTTAAGGTGTCTGAAGAGGATGGCGCGAGTGAGGTAATGCTTGTTGGTCTAAGCATCTCTTTCCTTTAAGAACTTGCAGTAATTACCTGTTAAATGTATACTACCTGGGATTCTGAGTGTTAATTATACGGGAACACATTTTGAGAGTTTAGATGTTACACAATATTCATTTACTAAGCCAACAATCTGGGTGTTTAAAAGGTAGGCATTGACATTACAACATATATGCGGGAACATTTTATTATGTGGGCACTATTTTTTATAATAATACTTAGCTAGCTTCCTCTTGTTTTCTTCCGGATGAAGAGATGAAACATCCATCTACTCATCCCGTAGGTCCAGCTCGATGGCCCGATTTTCTTCATTGGAGGCGGTCTAGTAGGGCACTACTCAATAAGTTGGGATGCAGAGTTCAACAAGAATTACTACCTCACTTCCATACGTTGGAGCAAAATGTGTTTTCTATGTGATCATTTTGTAAGTGGTCCTATGTGCTCATAGCACACTTGGTAATTCCTCCGCTGATTTTCTCCTGGTGATTGTCAACCATGCATGAAGCATGTGGATAATAATTTTGTTAGTTGCCTTCTTTTTACCATTTGCCTATTGGTATGCCACAGAGGAGAAATACAAGATAACTCCACTATGATCACATAAATTGATAAAACTTCTTGCAATCAAATTTCTTTCCATGATCAGTAATAATTGACTTGGGAAGATGGTGTGTACTACTACCCTCGTGTGGGTTGTATCAATCATTTGCACAGTCTATCTAACTACCCAATTCTTAGCCAAGTATAACTCAAAATGACATTTATAGTATAGTGGTCATCAAGGTCGTATTCCACATGGCTCGATATAGGCTACCTCTCACTTCGTGTTATCTAGTCAACCGGTTTAGGTTTTTGGATTGAAACTTTTGTGTGCCTCCTTCCCTGGAGCAGTACAAGCAAACGTGTCCGTCCATCATCTCCACTTACCTGCCGTCCTCGCCACCGCCGCAACCAGCACCGATGGACGCCAAGCTTCGAACAATTCCCGGCCGCTCGACGAACGCACCCAACCATCCCTTCTCGGAAGTCCGATAGGTGAGAACCTCGACCTCAATCCTTCTTGAGCTCATTTAAACCCCAATTAACCGGACGAACAATGTTGTGAACATAGCTTCGACGGAAGCCCTGAAGTGGTCGATTTCAACCAAGCTTCAAACCTTGGTACTATCGCATAGTTAAAGATCTCAGGAACATCCCAGTTTCGACGAAATTGAATTTTGATGCCGGACGAGGAAGATACGAGCCTCGAAAGCTTGGGACATGAATCAAATAGTTCACATAACAATTTGTCTATTTGAAAAGTATAAGGATTATGGCGGTAATTTTGTTACCTAGTAAATGTTCAGATTAGTCCCTCATGTTTCAAGTACGAGCAGCTTAGTCTCTAGTGTTTTAAAAGTTAACAATGGGCCGAAAATAGTATTTTCTCAAAGTTATTATTTTGTTTTATTTATGTACCATACGCATTTTTATTAGTTGTTAATATAATAAATTACAGATAATTTGCAGAATGCTTGGGAATCAATCTGAGAATATTTGGAGTTGTATTCCTAATTTTAAAAATAGGTAGCAAGAAGGTTTTAAGTAAATAAAATACTATTTGATCGATTTTTTTTACTTGATAATTTTACTCGGAATCATTTGGGATTTTTCCAGAAATTATTTTGGGAGTTTATTTAGCGATTTAATAATTATAAAAATTGTAAGATGACGGTTTTAATTGATTTAATTATTGTTTTCATAACTTTTATTAATTTATTAATTTTGTGCAAAATGAGAATGTTGGTAGTACATTTTAAAATTAAGAACTAGAATTTTAGACGTTGGTATTATAGATTTGAAATATGTTTATTATAAAAGTAAATTGGAAGAAGGGGTTAATTAAGATGTACATTATAGCTAATAATTTTTTTTATGTTTTGAGTTATTTTGAGTCTAAACTTGGATTTTTTTAAGAGGGAAAAGATTTTTGGAAATGATGAGATTTATTTAAAAGATTTTTGAGTTAATAGTAATGATATTAGTCTTGGAAATTCTTGTGTTTGAGAATATTATTTAAAAGAGTTTAAGAGTCTTTTTAAATAATTTTGGGACTAAACTTGGAGGACAGAAAAATGTTACATTGACTAAGTTAAAAGGATTACCAACTAAGGATTAATATATTTTTGAATTATAGGTTTTCGAGGTACTGTTGATTGAGGCCCATTGACTAAGAGGTTGAGAATCATCTGTTTACAAGGTGAGTGTAAAGGAGGTAAATTCTACACCTTGCGGTATCACTACAAGAAAAATGTTCTTTAATCATGGTAAATCCTGTGTTTAAAAGCATGTTTCCCGTGAATAATAGTTTTAGTCACAGGAAATTTACCGTAATATAAAGCTCTGTGACTAATTGTGTACCGTGACTAGTAGTGAGTACCGTGACTAACTGATTCCCGTGACTAGACTTCAATCACTAGTCACGGTATTTACTACATGTAGTCATTGGTTCCCCCGTGCCTAAATACTAAACACTAGTCACGGTATTTGACTATAGCTAATTAAGATCACTAGTCACGAAATATTTTATGATTAATTATGAATTTTTTTAATTACTAATTATAGAAATCAAGTCTAAAAGTTTCTTGCCACTAAATAACAACAAAATAATATTATTATCAACAATCGAAAGTCTCATATCTTGTTATAAATAATTTTATAATGTTTACAATCTATATCACAATAATAGCTAAATACCTAGATCTCCTCAATAAGCTAACTAATTATTACTTCTATGGTTCTCAAGTGAACATCACAATTGTCTATCTAGAGTTAACTTCAAAATTTCATCCTTCTTGTACCAAAAAAAATATGTTCCATGGACTTCATCTGAGACATCTTGCACCGTTGTATCTGCCATGAACAACAATATAAAAAATTACCAATATTATATAACCTTGTATGATGTGATCATCTTCATCAATAGAGAATGGCAATATCAAACTTGAACTCAAAGGATGGAACAAAGAAAAAGAAACATAACAAGGTAGCAATATTATAATTGTAAAGATGATTTGGTTAATCAAGTATGGAATTCTCTCAACTATACTATTGATGCGTCAGAGAAGAAATCAGGGTCTAATTAAAATATCAGCCCTCAATGAAAAGTTAGTTGAACTCCAATCCAACTTCTAATACCTCGAATAGCTTAGATTTAGTACGCTTAATGGAAAAAACACATCTATAGTGCATGGAAGTTGAGTTTTCTACAGGGCTTCTACAAATAATGAGAACCAAAAAACAAGAGCCTCACAACTCACTGAATCAAGCACACAATCCATCTGCCATTCAGAAGCACAAGCAGAGCACCAATATATATCATGCTACAAGGTTCAATATGACCTTGAAATCTTGTATTTACAAAAGCCAAAGTGGTGCCATTATCCCCTTAAGTTGGCTTCCATAAGAAGCCTTGCATTTATTTTCAGTGACAACATGACAAATTGAGCAAGTGGCAGCTTTGTAAGCTAACTTTCATTCATCCACTTGGGAGCTAAATTCTCCTAGCAACTAATCTGGGACAACATGTAATGAAACTCATCCTAGTTCCAAAAGCAATCACCAACTCTGCAGTCTAGGAAGAAATTAATAAAAGTCTCCTTGGGGTGGAAGCAAACTAGGCAGACTGGCAGAGGGCCTTTATCAAATCTTTATCTAGCATGACTTCATAACAGGAAGATAACCCAACCCAAAAGCAATAACTTATTGTGATAAGGTAGCAATTATCCAATATATTAACGAACAAAAACATCCAATCTATCCCAGTGGCTTGAATTTTTTATTCACTAAATCAATCTTCTTCCTCACAAGATACTTCTTTCCTCATGAAGTCTGCCAAAGCTTCCAGCTCCTGTGGCAACAAAAAGATTCACAAGGCTCAGATTTAGAGAGGCAGAGGACAAGACAGAGCTTCTCATATGTCATTTTCACCAAATCCGGAATGGATTTGGTATTCGTTCATCCTCATTACGACTGAGCTTTACCTCGAATTACAGCTTCTCCACCATGAAACAAAATGTAAAATTTGTGCAGAAACCACAGTACATCAGCAGCAAAATGTAAGTACACGTATGATGTACTGGTTCTAAGAAAAATCAGAGCAGCCAACACCCATGCAGGAAGCATGTCTAACTACAGAAACATTCATGAACATCATGTAAAAGCATTGGCATTCAGTAAAGGAAAAAGCCTCACATAGACCCGAAACATTAAATATACTATCAAGGGGAAAACTTTAATTCGTGCGATTGCTCAGAACCCTCAATCGTCTCGATGCGGAACCCTAATTTTCCAATTTAGGAATTCAGCAATCAATCAAACATACAAGCCCAATTTGAGTATAGAAAGATGTTGTTACAAATCATTGAGGGGGATCAAATCCAAGTTCAATTGGAAGGCTAAAGGTTTGATTTAGAAAAAAAAAAATAGTCCACAATTTGATCAGTTACCCACAATTCACCCAAAGCTGAAATGTCAACCCCAAATCTGCAATTAATGGATGAAATCGAGACCAAACCATCCAAAACTCTTGAAAGAGGAGGAGTGAAAACCGAGAGAGCCCATCGAGAAGAAAGGGCCGAGAATGCAAGAGGCCAAGGAGGCCGGAGGAGGAGCACTGATGCGAACGCATTTGGCTGGCAGTAGCACATCTCTCTGAATGAATTTAAAAGGGAGGCGACGCTGCAATGGTTTCCGATGGTGCGAAGCGGAGGTGGTGCGCACCTGAAACCGGGAAGTGAGGGTTTGTGTGGCTGGGTTAATGATTGGGTTGAGCATCGGAAGAAAGGCAGAAAAGGAAAAGCTTGTGAGTACCTGAGAGGGCATCGTAAGGGCATTTCGGGGAGCAAAAGGCAAGGTCGACGGTGAGGCAGGCGGAGTGGCCGAGGGTCGTCGGGGGAAGAAAGGATGAATGCGAGAGAGTGTTTCTCGAGGTTTTTGTCTATGGAACGAAGAGACTGTGGGTTTATTATTGGGATACCGCTGGCACTGGCAGAGTGGGGGTTTGGCTAAAACTTGAAACTAACCCAAAAGTTTTGGGGAGCGCCAAAAGTTTGACCATTAGTGGAGTCTGAAGCCAAATATTTCATGAGCCAAAATTTAGGGGAGTTGCTAAAGGTCGCCCTTAAAATTGCTAAAGGTCGTCCTAAAAAGAATAAAAGTTACACTTTTAACCCCCATAGCTTCTTTACCTTCCCTTCCTCAAACAAACATCACTTGGACTAAAAAAACACTCTCTAAGGAGAGAAAAATCTCTCATCGTCATTTTGAAGCCGATATCGTCGATAGGACGTCTGAATCATGAGTAGCGATTCCGACGAGGTAAGAACATGAACCAAAAAAAAAAAAAAACACAGAAAATGGGAACCGCGGGTGATTTGCGGTCCGACCATGGTCCAACCGCAAGTGACCTGCGGTTGGACCATGGCCGGACCGCAAATCACCTGCGGTTGAGTCATTGGTGGACCGCACTTGACCTGCGGTTGGACCATGGTCGGACCGCAAATCACCTGCGGTTCAGCCATGGTCCAACCGCAGGTCAATTGCGGTCCACCAATGGCTCAACCGCAGGTGATTTGCGGTCCGACCATGGTCAAACCGCAGGTCACTTGCGGTTGGCCATTTTTTGGTTTTTTTTTTTTTTTTTTTCGTTGAATAATTTTTTATTTTTTATATGATTTATGATTGTTCCATGAAATAATTTGTTGGGTTTTGATTTATATAATTTATTAGATTTATTTGCATAATTATTTTTGGAATTGAAGGATTTAGCATTAGAAATTAAGATTAGATTTTTGGAATTGAAGGATTTAGCATTAGAAATTAAGATTAGATTTGGCCTTAAATTAAGATTAGATTTAATTTGGTGTTAATCTAGAAAATTAAGATTAGATTTTGCATTACAAATTAAGATTAAATTTATTGCATAAATAATAGATTCGCATATGAAGTTATGATGATTATTAATTTTAATACTGATAACATTGCAGGATATTGGAAGTTACAATCCGGATGACCATGATTACACCTCGGATTTCATTGATGGCGTGAAATACACTACGGAGTTGCAAGCATATGAAGCAGCCATTGAGATTGCAAAGGGTTTTGGGTTTTATTTGGTGAGGGCATCGAACAAAAAAAATACGAATGAAGGTACTTGGCGACATTACTTACATTGCACTCATGGTAGGAAGAAGAAGTCGAAGGAACCTGATCCGAGTAAAGAAACGAGGCCTTTTACATCTACTGAAAAGTTGGGGTGCGAGTTTAAGATCAAGCTTGAGCGGTCAGGTGATGGATATTGGTTGATCCTAGGGGTGGCAAATACAAAGAATCCTGGTGCTAATTTGGGTTTCCACAATCATCAGTTGGAGCTATTTCCGGAGGGATCAAAGGGAAGGAATGTTTTGACTACAGAGGACAAGCAATACATCAGAGAGCTGAGATCAGCCGGTGTCCCACCAAGGAATATCCACAAGGCAGTGAATGACAGAAAAGGTGCAAATGGAACACACAACAGAAAGCAGATTTATAACGAGTGTCACAAGATAAGGAAAGAAGAGCTTGGTCAGATGACAGCCTTACAGTATACTTTCCACATGGCGCAGGAGAAGGGTTACTATGTGCAGTATATGGACGATCGTAACGTGCTTACACACTTGTTCCTAGCCCACCCCGAGTCAATATTGATGTTGCGAGCTTGGCACCATGTGATCGTGATAGATGCAACATACAAGACCAACAAGTATGATATGCCTTGGGTTGAGATTGTCGGCATGACACCAGTGGGATTGAACTTTGTCATTGCATCTGCAATAGTGTACGACGAGACGAAGGAGTCGTACCAGTGGCTTCTGACGCATTTGCAACATCTTCTTGGCCCCATTGTTCCAGATGTGTTTGTCAGTGACAAGGCAGGAGGATTGGTTGAGACCGTGGGGGTAATGTTTCCATCATCGACTCATATTTTATGTCTTTGGCATATGGATAGGAATGTGAGAGCAAAGTGTCTAACGGAGGTGCGAAGGACGACTCATTGTGGTATAGATGCAGCCAAACCGACAGTGGAGCAGATCATGGCGTCTTGGCAACGTGCTGTATATGCATTGACAGTGGAAGACATGGATACTGCCTTAGAGAATTTCAGACGTAGCTGGGGAGTACAGTACCGACGTCTTTGGGGGTATATGACAGCTGAGTGGTTACCAGTTAGACACATGTGGGCTAAATGTTATACCAATCAACTGCGGCATTTGGGTAACACAAGCTCTAATAGGGTTGAAGCTGCCCATTCCTCCTTCAAGAAGTGGCTTCAATCATCTACTGGCGCAGTCGACACGGTTAGTAATCTAATAAATCTTTATTGATACACACATAAGTTTTAGTAGTCTCCTAATTGTTCTTCATTGTTTGTAGGTATACAAGAAGAACGATGATTACATTGAGGCTCAACACCTTCAAATCAGGAAGCTGCTGGAGGATTCCCGACAAAAGAAGCTGCTCCGAGCGGATGGAAAACCATTTCGAGAGTTGAATACGAAAGTCACTCTAGAAGCTCTGAGGTTGATGTTGTTCGAGGTAGCAGTGGAAGGGGAACCTTGTGGTATCCAAAACTGTATTTCAACAAGTATTATCTAATATAAAAATTAGAAAATCTTCTAAACATAGTATTACTAAAATGGCTAATGAAAATTTTCAGTAAAATAGATAAATTAGTATAAATAATAAAAAATATCAATAAGAAATAAGAAATATTTAAAATCAAGATTAAAAGATCTATTAAAAACCCTAATCCAATTAGAAGCACCACTAAAAACAGTTAAAATAGAACCTAATCTACTATCAATAAATCAAGACCAAAGAAGGAAAAATGAAACACAATAAAAAATAACTAAATATATTCCAGTAATTGAAAAAGAATTAGAATGAAAAGAGAAGAAAAATAACCAAGTAATAAGTAAATGGTAAAAGCTACAATATTGAGTAACAAATCTAGGAAAAAAGTATGACTATAAAAAGGAAATTAGAATTATTAAATTTAACTAATATGGGACATTTACAATATAAGATTAGAGAATTACAAGGAGATTTAATAATGAAAATTAGACAACATAAACATGATGTAAGAGAACTAAATATGACATCCCCAAATCATTTATATCGAGACAAAATTTATAGGATATATTTAATTCAGAAAATAATTCAAATATTACAACACGTAATGATAATTGAAAATATTTATAATGATAATTGATTATGAATTTCTATTCAAAATTGATTTGATATCAAAATAAAAGGATCAATTCTGAAATTTAGAAAACAAAATATTCCAAAAATATTCTATGAACTTTAACGGAATGCACTTAACAATAAATTTAAGTGATACCAAATGTACGTATAATAGAATTATATGTGGCACGAAATCTCTATTGTGTATAACTACTCCAATTCTTATGCTTTAGTGTTACCAAGATATTTTATCCTAATAGTGAGCATGCTAATCTAGAACATGAGACTTGTCTTGAAGGTCTTGAAGGTCTGCATTTGGGTTTAATTTCATTGTAATTCTCTGTCCAGTAGGTCTGCAATTAGGAAATTAGAATTATTAAATCTAACTAAAAAGTTCAGATACTGAATTACTGATGCTGGAAAAGAAAGGAAGCAAATTTAAAAAAGAAAAAAGGAAAAGCAGAAAAGAAGCAGTCTCCGACGGAAACCAGACCGGATCCTGTGTTTGAGGCAGAGAGTGAAGTGGGGACTCTCTCTACTGTCTCAGTCTCAGTGTGTAAAGAGAGAGAGAGGGAGCGCGCGCGCATAAACTCCACTAATTACTTTCTTGACCGCAGCTCTACCTTGCCTTAAACCCCACCACCCTCTCTTTCCCCTTCTCTTGCTGTATTTCCTCTCGGATCGGCCGATCTCCGGCGATCCTCCTTTTTCTCTCCTACCCTTCGCACAGTCACCCTAAACTCCGCTCCCCTTTTCCTTCCTTTCCAATTTCTCCATCTCCCCTAGTTTTTTTCTTCACTGTCATCGACTCGTCTTTCTGTAGAGTGTACAGAATCCTTGCATCTATCTAGGTCGATGGAGTTGTACGGACACAGCCAGGCAGTCAATGCGTTGCAATCGGCTCAGCAGCAAACTGAATGGAGCCCTACTGGACAGGAGACTGGTCTTGAAGGTCTGCATTTGGGTTTAATTTCATTCGCATTTCTGTTTTGATTCTTTGTTTTTTTTTTGGCGGGGATAGCTTCTTCTTCTTCGAGATGTGTAGGGTCTGTGTGTTCTGGAATGCTTTGTTCTATTAGGGTTTTTGTTTCTTGGATGCAGAATCGATGTGGAGATTGGGGCTTACCAGTACCGAACCTTATCCTGAGCGACCAGGGGTTCCCAATTGTGTTTACTATATGCGGACTGGTTTTTGTGGGTATGGTGGTAGGTGCCGCTACAATCATCCTCGTGATCGCGCTGCGGTATGTTGTCTTCTTCCTTGTGTTCTTCTCATCATCGGGCATCCCTTGCTAACGCGAATGCTTTTTTTCACCATTGATGTAAAAGTGGCTTCCCTTTCCTCAATTTGATCCACAGATTTGAAATGCATGCCAAAATTGATGATCCCCAGTCTATGTGAACGTTGGGTGCCGTCAAATTGGGGGGGATGACTTGAACACTCTAAGTTGTCACTTGTCTGACTATTTTCTTCATCTAACTGGATACTCAATTTGACTTGTAGTGTTAGCTTTTGGGCTGAGTGGAGAGGGATTTTCTCTAGTGCAGTGACAACCTTTCCGGAAAATCTGTCACTCACACGACCTGACGTTTTTGCCTTATTAGCTTGATGCTGATTGCACAAGTTAATTAGTTGTGTTTCTTATAATGATAGCGTTTTGGATCTCCATGTTGCTTAGGTTGAGGCAGCTGTAAGAGCAACAGGGATGTACCCAGAACGGGTGGGGGAGCCCCCATGTCAGGTTACGAGTGAACTGTTTTTCTGCAAACTTTTCTGTATTTTGCAATTTGCTTGGTTGTCATGTATATGTGACCTTTTTGTTACTGCTATGCTGTGTATGTGCAGTTTTACTTGAAGACTGGAACCTGTAAATTTGGTGCATCTTGCAAGTTCCACCATCCCAAGCATAGAGGTGGATCCTTGAGCAATGTTACTCTAAATACACATGGATACCCAATAAGACCGGTCTGGTTTCGCTTATTGATTTTCTTTACTCTTTGTAAATAGATATTTTACCTTTACGTTGTGTGTGTTCCTGTTCTCTGGATGTCAAATTTTTTGCCCGTTGGTCTAAATCTTTTTCATTTCTTTGTTTGCTTTGCTTGCTAGGGTGAGAATGAATGCTCCTACTATTTGAAAATGGGGCACTGCAAATTTGGTATAACTTGTAAATTCCATCATCCTCAGGCAGCTGCCACGTTGACAGCATCTGCACCCCAATTTTATCAGCCGGTGCAGTCTCCTTCTATTCATGTATCTGACCAGTTTGGAGCGACGTCTACCAACTTGAGTGTGAGGCCACCAGTTCTTCCTGGTTCATATATGCCAGGGACATATGGTCCTGTGTTGTTTTCGCCTGGAGTGGTACCTATTCCTGGTTGGAGCCCTTACTCGGTAATTTGATTTGTCTCATCTGTTTTCTGATTGTTTAGAATATTAGGATTTTTAATGGACTTCTTGCTTTTTATGGTTCAGGCACCTGTTAGCCCTGTGCTGTCTCCTGGTGCGCAAACTGCTGTTGGAGCAACTTCTCTGTATGGAGTGACACAACTGTCTGCTACAGCACCTGTGCCTGCAAGATCTTATCCTTCCCTGCTGTCTTCTGTAGCCATCTCTAGCAGTACCCAGAAGGAGCTAACGTTTCCTGAGAGACCTGCTGAACCTGAATGTCAGTACTACCTAAGAACTGGGGATTGTAAATATGGTTCATCTTGTCGATATCATCATCCTCGTGATCGTGTTGTACCCTCAACAGACAGTGTCCTCAACCCGCTTGGTCTGCCTTTGCGTCCGGTATGGGGATATCTTTATTTGCTTTCTTCATTCATATATAAGAGTTTTTCCCCGGAAGGTCACTCTGTGGCCTTCTTCAATAAATATGGGAAATTTTCATCTCCACCCTGCCCTAAAATGTTGATTTTAATGGAGACATGCACTTTAGTATAAATAAGTTGGCTGAGTATAAATAAGTTGGCTGTTGATATTATCCAGGTGCACTGTGACAAACATATTCGTTGATGGAGTTTCGTCTATTTATCATGATCATGTGATAATGACGCTTGTGAGGCCTTGTGATGTGTGTATTATTATGGTGCTTTGATTGATTTGGTGATAACTTGTGATGCTTTAGATCATGGAAATTGGTTTCTTTGTTATGTGCACTTTGTTTTTGTATTAGCGATCAAAAGCTTATTTTTGTGATCAAGACAATCACTCTGCAGAAGCCTTAGCTGTACTAAGCCAGTTTATTCTGCTGCAACTAAGTAGAGTTGTTGATTTTCTATATGATCTAGTCTTAGGTTTGTTTGTTATTGAGGGGGCTTAGGCATCTGTACAGCTCACAAATGAGAGGAGTGCATGAAAGACTTGGAATTTATAGCTGACCAGCCTCTCTTCATTCATCAATACGCGGCCATATATGTCTCATTTGAATTGAATGACATATTATGCAGCAGCTTGCAGAACTTTTGTTTTTTGACAATTGTGCTTTACATGAATGTAGTTTTGAGTTTTGTGGATCAATGTTTGACCATTTCAACTGTGAAACAGGGGGCTCATCCTTGCAGTTTCTACTTGCAAAACGGTTACTGCAAATTCGGTTCCACATGCAAATTTGATCATCCCGTGGGAGGAGCCGTGAGATACAGTCCATCTGCAGCTTCTTCTCTGGTTGATGTGCCTGTTGCACCTTATCTAGTTGGTTCTTTGCTGGCTACTCTGTCCCCTTCGTCCACTTCCTATGAGCTGAGACCAGAACTGATTTCTGGGCCCAGAAAGATAGCATATTTGAGCCAGAGTCCTCCTGGAAACACATCCAGCAGCTCTGTTGGTTTGATCTTTTCTCAGACTGGATCCGTCCCACTTACTGATCTGCAGCTATCTGGTCAGGCATCTCTTCCTTTCGCAAATAACAGAAGCATACGACAAGGAGTTGAAATGCACCGTTCTAGTTAAGTTTGGAGGTGATTCCCGAGAGCTCTCATGTTTATAATTAGAGGTGAGTTATGCAGAGGGAGGGTGGAGGGTTTCTAGCTTGTCAGTTAAAAGCATCACATTGGTCGTTGTTTTAGTTTCTTCAGAAGCTTTGAATGTTAAGCATATAGATATGCAGGTCTTGTTAATATGCTTGCTCTCTCCTTTTGGTTTGTCGGGGGAGTTGGTCTTACCTTCCTTTGAATCCTTTCGCAATGTGAAGCAGGACCAATCGCCTTGTAGCGCCTAGGTATTTATTTTGTGTTGTGTATTGCATAGAATATTGAGTTTCTAGCTCCTTAATATTGCGAATCTGGTTAGTATATTGAACCGTCTGGAACTGTGGATGACCTCGACCTTGTGTCAGGGCTGCTTCATATATGGTGGTTTTAATTTCCATGGGTAAAGATTAATTGAATCCCTCATTTTGGGAGGGAAAGCAAGGGAGTTGGAGGAGTAACTTGAAAACCTTTGTTATTCCAACTCATGCATCGGAGTAGGGGTGGCGGTCCGGTTAAATTGATCCAAATTGATCCGGTCCAGTCCGTTTTTTTTAGAATATAAGGACCGAAGATTGGATTGGATACAGTCTGGTCTTGACCCGGTTCGGTCCCAATTCGGTCTTGATTTTATATTGAGATTGTGGGAATTTGAGTGGCCTAAGGCCTAAAAGGGTGAGGAGTTGGTTAAGTTTTGTACCAAGTGTAAAGGTTTGTGACCGTTTATGCAAATTACCCTTAAGTTTTGGGTGTTGAGCTCTCTCATCCGGTTTTATACCTCAAATCTAAGCCCAAAGATTGGATTGGATTGTTTACTATCCGGTCCCGGTCCGGTCTCGGTCCGGGTTATACGGTCCGATTTCCGGTTTTTCATCCGGTCCCGGTCCAAATAGCCAGCCCTACATCGGAGACCTCCAGAAGGATCTAAAATTGGAAGGACTGATAGATCCATCAACACGGGTTAATTGCATGGCTGGTCATTGAGATTATAAAAAACATTCAAGTTTGGGTACTCGAAATATTTAAATCTATTGGTGGTACTTTAATTTACTAAAACCGTTCACGTTTGGTCACTTTCCGTCCAACTCCGTTAACTTTTGCTTATGTGACAGTCAACTTTAAAAGTTGACCGTTAAGTGAGTGATGTGGCAATTAAAAAATTAATAAAATAATAAAAATTAGTACTTTATAATTTCCACCTCATTTCTAACTATTAAAAAGATAAAAACAAAATTACAAATTATAAGTGAGTGATGCCGGTCCAATCTGGCCAGAATTCTCCAAATCCCTTCCACAACGTCTTCAGGGAGAGGCTCTGCCCACTGGCCTCCAGCCCACTGGCGATCTCTCTCACTTGTTCCTGAAACACCCCATGCTCCCGAAGCAGAGGAACACCACTGTCGAGTCCGGTTGCCGGTCAAGCCACTCAATCAGCTCCTCCTTCTTCGTTCCTCCGCCGTCGCTGCCCTTCAGATTCAGAATAGGTCCCACCGGATACACCTTAGGGAAAGAGGAGAGAGCATCCACCGCGCTAGATTCTAGCTCTTTCACCGAATTGACCAAAATCCCTTTAGTTCTCCTGAAATCTCTGGCGATTCTGTAGAACGATTGGATTAATTCCTTCTTCACGACGTTGTTAGGGAAAGCCCAGCGCGAAATCGGGTTTGCCCAACTCCGCACGGCCAACTCGGTCCCCTCGAACTCGGTGATGTCGAATCCTTCATCGCTGTCGTGCGAGGCTTGGATGTGGAGGATGAAGTCGAGGATGTAGGCAGGGGAGGTGAAGAAGATGAAAGAGGGGACGCCGAATTCGTCGGCGACGTCGACCATCGAGGTGCAGAACATGTCGAGGACGAATCGGCGGAGACGACTTCCCTGACTCGAGGCTTTTGGGTTTCGATTAGGGCGAAATCGCCGCCGGCGACGGGGGGTGGGTCGTCGTTGGGGAGGTGGAGGAGAGTGAGGCGAGGGGAAGCGGCAGGGAGGGAGCCGGTGTAGCGGGTTACGGCGGCGGCGGTGGAGGGGGTGGTGATGATTAGGAGGTAGATGGAGAGGGCAGCGTGGTGGTCGATTAGGAGGTTGACGCTGGTGTTCCTCTGCTTCGGGAGCATGGGGGCGTTTCGCGAGGAACAAGTGAGAGAGATCGCCAATTGGCTAGAGGCCAGTGGGCAAAGCCTCTCCCTGAAGACGTTGTGGAAGGGATTTGGAGAATTCTGGCCAGATTGGACCGGCATCACTCACTTATAATTTGTAATTTTGTTTTTATCTTTTTAATAGTTAGAAATGAGGTGGAAATTATAAAGTATTAATTTTATTATTTTATTAATTTTTAATTGTCACATCACTCACTTAACGGTCAACTTTTAAAGTTGACCACCACGTAAGCAAAAGTTAACGGAGTTGGACGGAGAGTGACCAAACGTGAATGATTTTAGTAAATTGAAGTACCACCAATGGATTTAAATATTTCGAGTGACCAAACTTGAACGTTTTTTGTAATCTTAGTGACCAACCATGCAATTAACCCCATCAATCACATATACCCTCCCTCCCCTCAACCTTCTCACTCTCTAATCTGCGCATCCATTGATGAACATAATTATTGTGGCGCTTGCTGTCATTTCTTGTAAGAAGATGGCAGTAGGAATGACAATGGGTTTGTTGGGTGGGTATCTCGATACTCATACTCGTCTCGTGACAAGTCGGGTAATTTATCATGAGGTGCTGGTCAGGTAGTCAACTCAATGGGTTTGTAATTTATAAGGAGATGGTAGTAGGGATGACAATGAGGCAAGTCGGGGGCGGATATCTCGATATCCATACCCATACCCACCCTGTGGTAGATCGGGTGGAAGTCGGGTAATTAATCATGAGTTACGGGTCGAGGCAATCGATCCAATGAGTATGTTTTTTTAAGGAAAACATTAGAAATATTCGTTATTTTCACTAAAAGGCAAAGAAACAAATCATAATATAATAAATATTGTTAAATTATTATAGAAATTGAGGTTTTCACTTATTTAAAGATTTATTATAGCTAAAATATGGGGTGATGGACTCGTTCTAAATATCACAATAAAACTCCCAATTAGGGCCCAAGTATAAACCTTAATTGAGTGCAATGTAGGACAAGTATGTTTAAATATCAAACCGGACCAGTCCATGTACCCCTACTTCGATTGTTTGAAACATTATCGAGCAATTGGTTGTTTGATTGAAAACTACGATTTACTACTAAAGCGGTTGTAAAAGTAATTTGTTTTGACTCTTAAAATGAGAAGGATTCACTTGGGTGTAGCTCCCCCTAACTCGCTACCATGACTTGTCGGAATGATTGAAAATGTGTGGTGGAGGTGACTGAGAACCGTAAGAAGTGTAGCTAGTGATGAAACATCACTCTCTCGGTCTTTAGGCCAAGGAATTCAGATTAAGCTACCAAGGTAGCTCTCTTGGCCTAATCAACTAAGGACTACAAACCTTCACTCTCAAATCGGAATTCGGATGACCAAAACACAATCAACCTAGGTGCCAACACAAACAAGGAGGGATGCCCTACATTAACATAGATAGGAGACATGATTTGCCTTACATAACCAAGCTTTGCAAGCCTCCTTAACAAAAGGGAGTTTTTTCTCTACCTAGGTTAGAATGACAAATAGATTGATAGGCAAACACACAACACAATCTTCCATGAAAATACCTCCAAATTCGTATTAAAACACACCCACACATAGACAATCATTTCATGGTAGAAGTTAGGATTTACAAACACCCAAGTGAAAAGGGAAACTACTCCATGATAGGACAGGAAAAAACACAAGGAGAAAGAATAAAAACCATCATGGAGATGCTTGAATCCTTCCTTGTGTAGAAGAGATCTTCTTTTGGCGAAGATTTTCCCAAATCCTTGCCTTGGAGTAAAACCCTAGCTTCTTCCTTCTTTTTGCTCGTCACTTTCTCTCTAGAATGTTGAAGAAGAAGGTTTTCTCACTCAAGATCTCCTCTTTCTTTCTCCTTCAGCTCAAGCCTCCTTTTATACCCAGGTCGGGGTCACTTCATGTCCCAGTTCACAGCCGTGAACTCAAGGTGGTAACCGTGATCTCGGGCCAAAACGCGCCGCATCACTAACTCAGTTCACGGTCTTACGACCGTGAACTGGCTTGAGTCCAGTGAGAACCAAAATGTCTCTGAGCGCCTGGAGGTTCACGGTTTACGGCTCCAGTTCACGGTCTCCCTGACTGTGAACTCACTGCTTCCACCGTGATCTGTTACTGCCTCCATCCTTTGACCCGATTTTGCGCCTTTTCGTCCAACTTTCGACTCCGGGGTTGGTTCCACCTACTATAGACTGAAATGCACAAAAACGAGAAAAAACCCAACGTAAAATCAAACCTCCCGGATTATAAATGCTTCAAACGACTAAGAAAACCGGGGTAAAAAGTGTAAAATTAAGCTCGAATCAGTAAAAAAAGGAAAATCCTATGCAATTTGACTAACATTACATGTAATTTAGGCAACAAAAGGTCGAGAATGGGGTGGTTAGGGCAATTCGGATCGATGAGACTACTCATGCCCGCCCCGCCCCGCCCCAAAACTTGACAAACAGTTTATCTATAAACGGATCAGGTCTAAATTATCATTATGGATACTTGAAGACAATCGTCTGACGATAAGACGTGAAAGACACACTTTTTGGAGGTACCCTAACAACCGGTGTGCATTTTCTTACTTCCTAAAAAAAACTTGCATGTTTAATATTGTTTTAGTTAGTATTTAAAGTTTTAACTAGTGAATGAATCCCTTCTATGCCAAGAATAGAATCAATTATTGTTTGGAGATTATCTAGGTTCTTAAGGAATGGTTGCAAATATTGTGTTGTTGCTAAGCATGTTGTTCTAGCCTATCATCTTAATTATCTAGGTTACGAAATGGCATGGATAGTGCAATAGGATCATAAAATGTATGCTTATGAATGTGTATGTGTGTTTGGAGGCCTTGGTGGGCTTGATTTTTATGAATTTGTGGAGTTTGAATTGTCGCCCACCAAGTGGTCGATGAAATGCCGAAACCACATAAAACTTGTTTTTCTTAATCCAATGCTTTTCAATTGAACTTGTTCGACTAAGATAGACCCTTAGGAGTGTGTTTTTTACTTGAGATTGAATCTTGGATGCATGATCCTTGAGTTTGCAACTTTGGCTCACTATTGATTTTGTGCTTCGATATGCATTTAGGTCCATTAGATGTTGTCTCATGAGTTGATTCTAGATTTCACCCGAGATAGAGAAACCTCTAGAAAGACATGATACCTTGTTTTCATGCATTGTGACCTCAACCCTAGTCATCACAACATGCATTTCTATCTATGCACCTCAAGTTCTACATGGTCACACTTAAGTGTAGGGGTGTATAGAGTTGACCTAAGGATGGATTTTGAAACGTCCCGACCTTTTTC